CTGGGTTAAAGTGGCTTGAAGCTTTACCCATTACCCTACACACCCTGAGAAATCAAGTTAATAGAACGACAGGCCTGACTCCATTTGAAGTTTTAATGGGAAGACCACCAGCACCAAGCCCCCGATGACCGGGGCCGACGTAGCACTAATATGGGTACTTGAGAAAAGCCTGCTCTATGCACAGGCCCTGATGAGGCAGCTCGGTCCAACCATGTGAACGTATTAGAGGGAATGCCAAAGCCCAAGGAAGGGAATACTCATCCATTTAAACCTGGTGATTTTGTGTATATCCAATCACTTGAAAAAGGCTCTTTCTCCTCGATGGAAAGGACCCTATCAAGTACCACTAATGACCTGCACAGGTGTCAAAGTGCAAGGCAAGCTGGACTGGATTCACGGGACACGTTGTAAACCAGGCTCCGGAATCACCGTGACAGGTCCGCCCACAGGGGACAAACAATGAGGTTCCTGGTGTTTATAGTATATAGACTATTTGTGTAGGGTATCGCGTCGGATTCTGTAGAACAAGTCCCTGCCCACAACTCATTTCTGTCTTTCAGCTATGAATATGTGGTGCGTTTAAATGTCTCCTCTTGCTGAGTGTGCGCCAACGTTCCGATTCATTCAAAAGGGGAATCCCATTATGACCAATCCCCTTTATTGCCTCCAAAGTTGCGGAGTGGGTATTAAAACAGAGTAGCTCACTGCCCGGGAATCGGGACAGCTTGCAGACTGAAGCTGGTCACTGTATGGTTAACACCGACATAGACAGGCAACAGTGGAAGTCTGTGGGGTACCCCCTTGCCACTTCTGTAGGATGATACCAGCCAGATTATCGTAACACCTCCTCCCTGTCACCTCCTTTTTTTTACACTAACTGCTGAAAACAACCACACGGCCCCAATTTGCTTCATTAAAATAGCAATACAAGAACAGGGTATCCCCATGGGTAACAGCCAATGCTCCCAAATTACAATGTCTCTATTTTCCCCCTCCCAGCCCGGGGCAATTTCTCACTCTTTCTGACCAGAGGGGCTCTTGATGGCTCTCTCCTTACGCAGGGCTCCAACAGCGTACTTACTTTTACCAAAACCAACCACTTAGGCACTTTTCAACAAAATTGGTACCGGAGTTATCACCAATTACATTCCCTTTATTGGCACATATTTTGTATGTGGCTACAAAGCCTACGCCCTGGTTGTCCCCCTCCTGGACGGGTTCCTGCTATTTTGCGTATATGGTCCCCCATATGCACCACCTCTCCACTTTACACCAGCACCCCTGGATTAAACGATGCAAGAGGGCTATAACCGAGACTGAGCGTTTCTTCATGATAGCCTTTCCCATTTATGGTACAGGGAAAGCAGCCCGGGAACTGATTAACGTGGCCTCAGTCCTAGAGAAATTGGTCAATGAAACTGCCCATGCTCTAGAGGGGACAAACCAGGCCATTTCCCGGCTGTCTGCTGAACTTGTGGCAGTGTGAACAGTGGCCCTACAGAATCGACTGGCTGTAGATTTTGTGCTGGCCAAAAAAGTTATAGGACAGGATTGCTGCACCTACATCCCAGATGAGTCCAAAAACATCACGTGCCTATCGAATCATGTTTAGTGAGCTGTCAACAAAATAAAAGTGATAGGGAATCAATTCCACAACTACAACCCCCCGGGATCTGGATGGTGGCCCTATGGGACTTGGTGCAGCACCCTGACCCACATTGGGATCATCCTTGTTATAATTGTAGTATGCGTTCTAGTGACCCGCCTAATATGCGCCATCCTCCCCCGGATGACAAAACCCTGTTCCCATGTTTCCCTGTTACATATCCAACAGTCCCGATTATGATAAGAAGGAATGCTTGGACATGAGACCTTTTCCCCTGGGGTGCGATGCTTTGTTGGCAGAGGAAGACTGGCGAAGTTGATCTGGGGATTAAAAAGGAGGGAATTGTGGAATACTTGTATGTTGAGACTGTTTAATTTAGGCTGAGTAGTAATGAGTTAAAATAATACATGACTAGGAGCACGAAGTAGGGAAACTTTAGCTTTATGAAATAGTTCATATTGCTGTAACTGCAACCTGCCTTTCCCTAGTCTGAGAAGTCACGTAGGATAGATAGCAAAAAGCTAGGGCTCACAGCATCAGTACACTCTTATCTTCACCTCATTCTGCTTCAATTAATGTCCCTATATACTTGCATTCCCCATGCAGATGGCCTAAAGGCCCTCCGCTTCTTGCTGTCTCGCAGGCCCAACCATTCCCCCTCCACTGACACCCTTATCCACTGAGCTGAACTCGTCCTCACCCTTAACAACTTCTCCTTCAATTTCTCCCACTTCCTACAGACAAAGGGGATGGCCATGGTACCTGCATAGGCCCAAGCTATGCCTGCCTCTTTGTAGGATACGTGGAACAGTCCCTCTTCCGCAGCTACACTGGCCCAAAACCCCACCTCTTCCTCCATTATATCGATGACTGTATCGGCGCCGCCTCATGCTCCCACGAGGAGCTCGAACAGTTCATCCACTTTACTAACACCTTCCACCCCATTCTTAAGTTCACCTGGACCATCTCCGATACCTCTCTTTCTTTCCTGGATCTCTCTGTTTCCATCTCTGGCAACCACCTGGAAACTGATATCTATTTCAAGCCTACCGACTCCCACAGCTACCTAGAATACACCTCCTCTCACCCACCTTCCTCCAAGAATGCCATCCCCTATTCCTAGGCCTCCGCCGCATCTGCTCCCGAGATGAGGCATTTCACTCCCAGACATCCTCGTTTTTCAAGGACCGCAACTTCCCCTCCACAGTGGTCGAAAATGCCCTCTACAGCATCTCTCACGTTTCCCACAACACATCCTTCATACACCCTTCCCGCAATAACAACAAAAACAGAATCCCCCTCATCCTCATGTACCACCCACCAACCTCCGGATTCAATGCATCATCCTCCGCCACTTCCACCACCTGCATTCTGACCCCACTACCAAAGGCATTTTCCCTCCCCACCCTTATCTGCCTTCCAGAGGGACCGCTCTCTCCATGACTCCTTTGTCTGCTCCACACTCCCCACTAGCCCCACCAGCCCTGGCACTTTTCCCTGCAACCACAGGAAGTGCTACACCTGCCCCTACACCACCCCCCTCACCCCCATCCCAGGCCCCAAGAAAACTTTCCACATTAAACAGATGTTCACCTGCACATCTGCTAATATGGTAAATTGTATCCGCTGTTCTTGATGTGACCTCCTCGTCATCGGGGAAACCAAGCGGAGGCTTGGAGACCGCTGTGTGGAACACCTACACTCGGTTCGCGATAAACGACTGCACCGCCCAGTCGCGAACCACTTCAACTCCCCTTCCCACTCCTTGGACAACATGTCCATCCTGGGCCTCCTCCAGTGCCACAAAGATGCCACCCGAAGGTTGCAGGAACAGCACCTCATATTCCGCTTGGGATCCCTGCAGCCCAATGGTATCAATGTGGACTTCACAAGCTTCAAAATCTCCCCACCCCCGACCACATCCCAAAACCAGCCCAATTCGTCCCCGCCTCCTTGACCTGTCCGTCTTTTCTCCCACCTATCTGCTCCTCCCACCTCAATCACCAACCCCACCTCCTACCTACCAGCCTCATCCCCGCCTCCTTGACCTGTCCGTCTTCCCTTGACTGACTAACCCCCATCCTAACTCCCTACCTACACTCACCTTTACTGGCTCCATCCCCATCTCCTTGACCAGTCCGTCTCCTCTCCACCTACCTGCTCCTCCATCCGCCTCCCCTCTCTCTCTATTTATTTCAGAATCCCCTTCCCCTCCCCCATTTCTGAAGTAGTGTCCAGACCCGAAACGTCAGCTTTCCTGCTCCTCTGATGCTGCTTGGCCTGCTGTGTTCATCCAGCTCTACACCTTGTTATCACAGTACAACTGCAGTTTGTTTTAACTTGTCTGTATCACTGTACACCTACTGCTTTTTTTGTACTTGTCAGAATCTTCGGACCTGACCTTTTGTCAGCGTTGCCTCTCCATGACATCACGAATAAAATCTCTTTGCCTCGAAGTCTGGGCCTTTAGTGTGTGATTTAATCTAGTCTCTTTGACAGACAGACACACACACATAACTCAACAACAGGAAATTAGTAAGAATCCTCAGACACTCTGCACCTCCCACATAATTACACCTCACCTTCTCATATTTAGGAATAAGCCATCAACAAAACTCAGCCTGGAAATCAGAAGGGAAATACTTCCAATAAACACATTCAATATCCAACACACAGCTCCAGTCAAACAGTTCAGCACAAAGCACTGAGTAAACAGCTCTCTCAACTGGATCTTCTCACACAGCATAAGGGACATTTCCACCCCTGATTGCCCACAGGATAGTCAGACTGCCTGAAGATTGGTGTGGATATTATGGGATACAATTTGTATAAAAGCTGCTCCTTCACTCACCATCTCCTCACTTGGTTTTCAGTCCCAATAGGAAGTGAACCAGCTCTGGAAGAGGAAGAGGAGGGAATGGGCAGAGTGGGTGGGCTCTCTGATTGACGTCTCTCAGAGTCAATCCAAATATTTCTGCAGCAGCATGAGTTTCCGGAAACATGGGAAACTGACCGATAAGATAGAGGCGACTGAGCAGCAGATCAGGTGGGATTTAAACTTGTCATCGCAACTGCTGTCTCAGTTCCCCTGTCCAGTAAATTTAAAAAAAGACATTCATCAGATCACACCCCACCTCCAGCTTACGAATGTCTGTGGATTATAACCCATATAATGTAATCCTTGCAGTCCAGGGATCATTCTAGTAAATTTACACTGCACTCCCTCCAAGGCCAATATCTCTTTCCTACAGTGAGTTGCCCAGAGCTGCTCTCAATACTGCAGGTGTGGTCAAAGCAAAGTTTTGTGTCACTGTAACATAATTCTACTTCTTTGTATTCTTTTCTTTTAAATATAAAGGCCAGTATTTCATTTGCTGTTCTTGATTAATTTCTGTACTAACTTATGACAATTTCATAATATCTGGATCCCCAACTCTCCCTGATTGCCCACTATTTGATGGAATACTCCCCATTTACCCAGATGAATGCAGCTGTAACAACATGCTCACACCTTCCAGGACAAAGCAGCTTGCTGGATTAGTGTCCCATCCATCATCTTCAGCATTCGTTCCCCACATTAGTGACACAAAGTGGCAGCTGTGTGTACCACTACAAGATCCACTACAGCAACATACCAAGGGTCCTTCAAGAATACCTTACAAAATTGTAAACTCAACCAGTTAGAAAGACAAGTACATCAGATACAAGGAAACACCACTCCCTGGAAGCTCTCCCCAAGCCTCATGCCACCCTGATATGGAATTATATCAGTGTTTCTTTGGCAAAATCCTGAAACTTCCTTCCTGACAGCACAATGGATGTCTCTCACCCCTACCGCACCCAAAGGACTGCAGTGGTTTAGCATTCAGAAGAAATATTAGCGATTAGTAACAAATCTTGGCCTGGCGAGTGACATCACAGCCTGTGTAAGTATGAATAATAAAGAATGAGATTGTGGGTGATTAGTCAGAGTCAGACTGTCAAGAAGTATAAGTGGACTTCAAAGTGGTGAGAGCTTCATTTGTTGATTGAGTCTCATGAACTCCTGACTCATTCTGACAGGTGAAAGACTATGTGTGATGTGTGTGAAGAGCGCGCCACAGGATCATAAGATCTCCTAAATGCAGGATGCATCTGTTGCTCAAATGCCAGCACAAGGACAATTTCATGGAAGAGAAACCATTGAAGTGTAAGGTGTGAAACTGAGCGTTTGATAAGTTATCAATACTCATGAATCAAAGACACATTCACACAGGGAGCAGCCATTGAGATGTGAGGTAAAGTGACAAATCATTCTCACGGTCGTCAACCACGTGCATACGCCAATGGATTCACACCGGTTTGAAACAATTCACTTGCAAGGTTTGTGACAAATCATCTTGTACTCATGATCTCTCCACAGACACTAGCATATTCACTCAGGGGGAAAAGCCTTTACAACCAAAATGTATGAAAGTGGCTGATGAATTGTGATTTATAACACATCTTGCTTCTTGAATGGTCTCTCCCCTTTACAATTGTGCCAGTGTTTAAGGAGAGCTCATTCATCAGCCTCCCACAGATGCTGATATGTTCACACAGAGGAGAAACCATTCACGAGACACATCATTTGTGCACTCATCGATTTTCTATGCGCACCAGTGTATTCACAGAGGAGAGATGCCATTTACGTGCAAGATGTTCAACAAATCATCTTTTAATTCATCGGCTCTCCTGCTCTATCAGAGGATTCACAAAAGAGAGCAAATCGTCAGGTGAGTTGTGCAGCAAATCAAATTCACTGGACACTGAAGCAGTCAAATTGGAATAACTGTACAAGTGTAAGGTCTGCAACAAATCATTCTACAATAAATCATCCTCAGTACTTTTGTGTACAACAGTGCATTCACCCTGTTTGGTGCGAGATGAGCGTCGAGGAAACTAACTTAATCACACATTATAAGTTCAGACTTCGAGGCAAAGAGGCTTTATTCGTGATATCACAGGGAGCCAATGCTAATAGAAGGTCAGATCCGTAGTCTCCGATGAGTACAAAAACAAGGCAAAAACACACCGTTATAGATTGCGACATGGATACTGCATGCGAACAAGCACGTACACAATTTACTACATCCCCTTAAGGTAGATCACGATTTCACAACTTGTGCTTGCTGATTCGTTAGCTTTAAGTGGAATGTGTCTTCAGCTTCTGGTCAACATTGCACAACATGATCTAAGCTTTCTGCAGTCTTGCAACAATTTGTCATGTATATCTTACTTGACCTATTTTCCCATCATTCCAACCTCTAATTCTAAGCTTTAGCTACATCTAATCTCTCTTTACACTTTAATTATTCTTCCACAATGAGTTAGAGAGTGATTTCCAGATCCTCACCACCCATACTTTAGATTACCTAACAAGCAGAAACAATGTGTCCATCCTATCAAGCCCCTTCACAATCTTGTCTGTTCAATGAGATCACCTCTCTTTCTGCTCATCTGCAGTGAATGGTGGCTCAGAGGATAACCCATTATCCCAGGGAGCAATGCATCCACACAGGCAAGAAACTGTTCAAGTGTTAGGTCAGTGAAAAATTATACTTACATTATCTGAACCCCCTGCTCCACCATGGAATACACATAAAGTAATAAGCCTTGAAGTATGAGGATTGAAATGAAACTTCCATGGCATCCTCAACACTTCTGGAATGGCAGAGGATTCACACAAGACAATAAAACATAAGGTATGATCTGTCACAAGACTTTCACCCAATCCCCCAATCACTATAGCATCAGCAGACTCACATTGGAGAGAAACTATTCAGGTGTGTAATATAACAAAGCTTTCACACAGTCAGGCTATGTCCCGGTCCCTCAATCTGCATCCAAAAAAGAAACCCTAATGGGTTGAGTTACATCATGAAGCCTTTACACAACTGTTGGATCTTCTAGATCATCAATGAACCCACACAAGGACCATCTTGTCAAGTTCTTAGCCAATTTGATGTCAGAATGTGAATCACCACACTATACAAAGGGGGCGCAGAAGAGATTCGCCAGGATGTTGCCTGGGATAATGAATTTCAGCTGTGTACGGTAAGCTCAGATTGATTTCTTTGGAGCAGAGAAAATTGAGGGGGGACCTGAATGAGGTATATAAGGTTATTGACAGGGTGCATAGAAAACAGCTGCTCCCCTTAGTCAAAGAGTCCATACAAGTGGGCAGACTTTCAAAGTGAAAGGCAGGAGGTTTAAAGGGCATTTGAGGAAATATTTGTTCATAGACAGTGGTGAGGGTCTGGAATGTACTATGTGGTGGGGTAGTTCAGGCAGGAAACCTCACGTCCTTTAAGAAGTACTCGGATGAGCACTTGAATTGTCATAACTGTTTCTTTTTCAGGGGTGGCACAGTGGTTAGCACTGCTGCCTCACAGCGCCAGGTACCTGGATTCAATTCCACCCTCGGGCGACTGTCTGTGTGGAGTTTGCACATTCTCCCTGTGTCTGCGTGGGTTTCCTCCCACAGTCCAAAGATGTGCAGGTTAGGTGGATTGGCCATGCTAAATTGTCCATAGTATTGAGGGATGTGTAGCTTAGGTGGGTTATAAGGGGATGGTTCTGGGTGGGATGCTCCAAGGGTCAGTGTGGACTTGTTGGGCTGAAGGGCCTGTTTCCACACTGTAGGGATTCTGTGTGAAACTCTAATAACATTCAAGACTATGGCCTTAGTGTACAAAATTGAGACAAACATACTAAGTGTTTTTCTGGTGGTGCAGAATTGATGAGCTGAAGAGCTTCTCCTGTACTGTGTGATTCTATGATGTGCAGGGTGTTCAGTGGGACTGGGACATAGAACAAGAAGCAGCTTTCACTCCCATCAAACACCTAGTGATGACATCACCAGTGCTGAGGGATTATGATGTCAACAATGGAGCCACCCTGCAGTGTGACGTCAGTGACACAGGACTTGGAGCAATCCCCATGCAGTGAGGGTAACCCGTTGTGTTTGTATCCAGAACATTATTCAGATTGAGAGAGAGAGAGTTGCAATTATTTTTGATTATCAGCACTGCAGCAATATTGAGAACCTCAGCTATATATCACCAATGATGATGTAGATGAAGAGACAGAGAACTGTGTCTATATTTGCTGATGTAACAAAGTCAACTGGAAAATTAAGCTGTGGGGGTGGACACAAGTGACAAAGCGATCTGGACAGGTTAAATGGGTTGACTATAAGATGACAGTTGAAGTATAATGTCCAGAAGTGTGAAGTTATTCAGTTTGGTCATAAGAATGGAAAACCAGGAACATTTTGTGACAAGGTGAAAAATTGTAAGTGTAGATGTTCAAGAAGATTTAAATGTGCTCTTACAAGGAGCACAGATGTTATGTGTGGGTACAGCAAACAAAAGGAAGATAAATAACATTAATCCTTATTGCAGGAGGATTGCAGAATAGGAAGAAAGAAATCCTGACACAATTGTACAGTGGTTTTGTTAAGACCACAGCTGGAAGACTGTGTGCAGTTTTGATTCTCCACATTTAAGAATTTACATTGGAGGTTACTGGAGCAGAATGACCAAAAAAATCACTCAACACCCAGCATCCACTTCCAGCAAAGTATATATTGAAATTACAGTGGTTGGAAGAAACCCCGAAAATCAGAAGCTTCTTCATTGAACAAAAGAAAGACATACATTTTTATACACGTATTTTATCCCACCTTTAACATTTACAGACCAATCCTATTATTAATTGTATATATACCCATCAAATTAATCATGTTATTGTATGATCAATGAAGGTCAGCCTTGTGCCAGGCTTTCCCATGATCTCAACGTGTTTACTGTACATCCCTATCTTCATCCTTGGGCCTTTACAATATATTTTATTCAATCCATATT